TAGTTAGCTTTGTGCTTTTGCTTACTAGCATGTGTAGGAGCTCCCTTGTTACTTAAAGTACTAGTGGCATAGGTTTGTGTGACCTTACTCCTAAAATTGTTTAGGAGAGCTCTAGCTAGCCCGGCACCTTAGTTGCTTTATTAGTATCTTTGCAAGGTGCTAGTGAACATATATAGAGGGGTGTAGTCTTGGCTAGACCGATTGTTTTAATTCCGCATTTATATCAGTTAGCCGACGCGATTAATTTTAGAAAAAGACTATTCACCCCCCCTCTAGTCCGCCATCTCGACCCTTCAATACGGCAGCAGTGGACCGAGGGCACGCGCGGGCGGCGTGCCGCTACGGTACGACACCGAGGACGTGCGTGGCCATGGCGGCTAGGAAGGAAAGGACGGCGGCGCGTGCGCTAGCCTATGCTGCGGGGCACACGGGCGCGGCTGCGGCTTGGCAGCGGAGTTGCGTAGGTCCCGGGTGAGGCACGGCAGGGGTGCGGTGCACCAATCGACAGAGACTGGCGCGGGGAAGTGGTGGCTCCCGAACAAGGAGGAGGGCCGCGGAGCTCGCGGCGGCAACGGCAGAAGAGGTGCGGCCTAAGCCGGTGCTGCGGGCTCAGACGCGCGATGCGGGGAGGAGAAGGGAGGGCGGCATCGCAGGCAACGCGGGCGGCGCGCCCCGTGGCAGGCGATGGAAACGGTGATAGCGGGCGTGGCCCAGCGACGATGCTGCGCGCGGCGACTGTGGCTTGGCTGGTTGCGAGCGCTGGCGCGCGGGATGGCAGCGGCTCGGGGCGGACTGAGGAAGAAAAAGGGCCTAATGGCGCTGTGATGCCTCGGCTGCTGGTGTTCTATCGCATCGAGAGGAAAACACTCGACTTGCACTTGTATCATGGGGTTATGAGAGAAGTTCGTGAACACGAGGAGCAGAGGCAAGACAGACAAGATAGAGAGGTGGGGACTCATGAATTGGAGCTTTGCTTCGCCGGCCACGGAGACAGCAGAAGCACGACGTGGTTGCTTGTGTGCATGCACTTGCTTGCTGAGTGCACATGCGTTCTGTGCGGTTACTGCTGCTGGGTAAGCGAGGCTGCAGAGGCCTGACGAGTGACGACACAAACTCATCCCATCGGTTGCGGTTGCTTAGCGAGTAGGAGTACACGTACTACTGTTGCTGCATGTAAGCTTGTACACGTATTACTGTTGCTGCATTTAAGCTTGCTTCACGTAACTTGTAAGCTTGCAGTGGTTCTTGATTCATCACTATACTAGCGCTTCAGAATGTGTCAGCGGCCAAGCAGGGGCCGGAGACAGCAGCAGCTCGGAGGTGACCGGCCGGCTTGTCCGGTAGAGAAAATAGTGGAGCAAAGACAAGCAGCGGCAGAAGACAAGCAAGATCAGGGACAAGCAAGGTAGGCCGAGGAAGTAAACGCAAAAGCCGGCGAGCATGGATGCGGACGAATGAGTAGACTTTACAAAAGCAGAGCCACGACGAGAACGAGACAGCGATCAATAGCAGTGCCAGGCGAATACGCTGCACGTCAGGAAAAACAAACGAAGCTACCGCTCTCTCTCTCGTCAGTTCATGCTTATTAAAATGATCACGTGAGTGTATATATATATATATATATATATATATATCGTTTTATTTATTAATGGATTTTATTTTATTCATAAGGGTTGCTTTTCATGCTCAATCTAACAGAACAAACCGTTTGCTAGCATCGTCCGTCCGACATTCCTAAATATCTTTACGCACCGATAAATTTTAACTTGGACGCTTATTTGAGTCCACGAAACTAAGTCACGTAGGATTCGCTTATTGCGTCGAAAATGTTTTAAATCAAAAATTCCGAGAAACCTGTTTTGAAAATTTTACTTAGGTCTAAATCGCGGTGCTAAATAAGCTCGTAACACCAGGGATGTTACACCCCTAGAGACATAATTTACTTTCAGAAGTATATGTTTCCCATAAGAACATGTGCTCTTATATTGTGAACCACTATAAGTGCATCAAGATGCTCGCACATCAGGAGAGATATAATAATATATTATCTCATTCCTATTATACACGTATCCTGATGCACATTTAGTGATGCACATCAGGAGGGCACATGCCCTTAGGGGTAGAATTTACTTTTAAGATATGTTTCCTGTTACGTACTTCCTTCGTTTTTTTATAAATGTCATATTTACTTTTTGTAAAATGTCAAAAAAGGATGTCGTATATGTGTCAGGTGCTTCGGCTGATAAATGCAAAAGGACCTCAGTTTATCGTTGCTCTTTTGTGTTCAGCATACGCTCCCTCTTCTGTAAATGTAATTAGAGGACATTAACTCCCAGTTTATAGCAAAATATATGCAATATATATTATTATTGTTAACAGGCTATTATGTGTTAATTGCATTATTCTTGATCCCTAATTTTTTACTCCAAAAGAACCGACTAATAGCAGAGTGAATAGAAAATGATTAAAAAAGAGGGAAAATGAGAGCTCTCATCCAAGCCGTTCCTTCACGTGTGGATGGCTTAGGTGCAGCCACCGCTTATCTTGCAGTAGTAGTAACCACTGCATAGGATCTGTGTTCATCAAACAGTGTACGTACATTCTCCTGTTCCCATCCCTTAGGAGCAGAATTTTACTTACCGTAAGTCTCTTCGCTTGTTGGTTTCAGCCAGGGCTTATCAGCCAGTCAACAATGTTTTTTTCTCACAACAAACCAGCACCAGTCGGGTTTATCAGTCCAGAAACCAACCAGCAAACAGGCTCCGTTATCGAGAGCACGCATAGCTTCATTTGTGTTGTAGGAGCTCATAGCTTCATTTCGAGGACAAGAGAGCACACCAACACTAACAGCGAAAACAATTGATTTGCACTTAGCCACTTACCATACTTTCTTTACGGCTAATGTAAAAGACTAGCAAAAACAGAGTATTTACACCAATAGTAAATGGATATATACTGAAGATACTCTTTAGCGATTGGAAAAACAGTGAAAATAGGATAGCAAAGTTTTTTGAGGATTTTTCCGTAGCAACTTTGTAGGAGTCTCTAGTATATATTTGCACCGCGAGAGTTATTGTAAAATTCACTTCTAAAACAAGATTACTGTAAAATTCACGTGTTTGACCAGGGTCCCACCCAAAATGGGCGACCTCCGTGGGACCCGCGTGGCCACCATTGGAGTCAAACGGACCCGCCAACCCCGCGCTCCGTCGTCTCCCGCCAATTTCTCCCGTCGGAGTCGTCGGACGCCTCACGCCCCTCCCTCCCTGCTCGATCGTGCTCGGATATATAACACGCTTCCGCCATTGTTGCCGCTTCTCGCAGCTGCGTCGCTTCTTTCTATATAGACCTAATAAAAACAAAGATTGCTAGCTCCCCATCCTCCCTCCCTCCACGTACGACAACCTGCCCATTTCCCGATCCGTTCCGTTCCCACGCGAGCTAGGCGCCGACGCCGTGCGTGATCTCCGTCCGTGCCGTGCAGCCATGGCCTCGCACCGGGCGCTGCTGCTCCTCCTCCTCGCCGCTGCGCTCGTCGCGGCGCTGGCCGCCGTCGCGTCCGCCGAGGACGCCAAGCCCACCATCCTGACCCCCGTGGCGCAGACCCCGCTGGGGTCCTTCGACGGCGACAAGCCGGCCTCCGACGACGACACCGTCGACGACGACGAGGACGCCGCGCCCGTCGGCGCGCCCAACGGGGCCACCATGACCGAGCCCACCGACGTTCCCGCGCCGCCCGGCGCCGAAGCCAGCAACGCACCCGCCGCGGCTGCGGCGCGCGTCTGCGCCGCTGCCGTGGCGGTCGCCGTGGGAGCCTTCGCCTCCTTCTGAGGACTGGAGATTGATTTCGTTTCGTGCAATGTTTTACATGACCATTTTCTTCGGTTTGATATTTGTAAACACACAGCTAATCGTCTAATCGTATGTGTACCTATTTTTCAGTGAACATATCCAGGTTGTTTATTAGTTTTACTTGCATTACCGAGTTTGAGCTTATAGATTCTTCTCAAGACAGCACGGTGATGTTGCTTCGCAATCTTTCGACAGATATCATCATGCATTCCAAAATTATTGTCACGAGGTACACTTATCGAATTGCACGGTCAAAATCAGGCGAGGATGGGAGATTTACATTTATTACAGCCACCTTGCATCCATCCCATCCCAGCTGGACAACATACTCCTTTGAGATGTCAAATCCTTCACATGACCTACAGTACAGCCACAAATTCTAGGAAAAAAAGGTCCTAGACCTAGAGCGTGGTTTCTGGTTTGAAACAATTTTGCCTCCTGTTGCATTTTCGTGTGATTCTTGACTCTCCTGTAGCTGTTCGTGAAACTATTGCTCACTATCTCACAGCTATACCCTACCGTGGGTTCGGAATCAGAACAGCGTGTCGACGAAGCAGATACGCCTGAGCCACTGATTTTCAGTGAACACATCAAAGCAGTAGAACGACTAGCGTTGCTAACATCCACTCTCTATACTGCATCATTTCCATTCTCTCGGTCCGTTAATTTGTGGGCATCCGGCGAGACAGGTTTGCTTACTGAGGAGTGATCGTCAGCTGCTTCCTGAAATTCATAAACAACCGAATAGGGATGAAACTTTTAGTCTTTCCATGGATGCTCAGAAGTCAAATGAACCTTCTTGCGTTTTCATAATGGAAGACACATTGTCAGAAACAACAGCATACCTTTTCTGAGGATAAATTCTGAGCCTTTTCATTTCTACTATGGTTGACTCCACCATTGCTATTACTTACGATCGGTCCATTTTCATGAGACTCCTGTTTAATATTCATTATCAGTCAATAGGACTTCACCTGCTGAAATAAACCATATAAAAGTAACAAAAATAGAGACTACCTGTTGATCTTTTTTGTCTCCAGAAGACGCATCAGAATTTTGTGTTTCATCTAGGAAGCTAGATTCAGAACTTGACTGTTCTGATTGTTTTGCTTGTCCCAGAACCTCTTTTCTCCTTGATTCTTCCTCCTTTAGTTTCCTAAATCTGAACACAAGACAAAAGGCATGCAGAGTTGGAAAAATCAATTTTTATCAACTTACATTTTTTTTTCTTCCTGTCAGATGCATCAACCTTATTTTAGAGTAGAAATAAAAAGTATAGGTTTCAATTGTAAATAAGCATAACCACAAGCTAAATATGGCACAGAATAAATTAAATACCCATGACACTACAGTGCCAAAATATAAGTGGCAGCATGCATCTGACCCTATGTTCCAGTCAACCGTTGGGTCCCAGAATTATCACCAAACATTGGATTCTGCATCTGTCCATAGTAAATGGAATTTCATTTCATAATATTCTAATTAGACTTATCCTAGTGTGCATTGTTGCAACGATCCTGGTCCTGGATCCAATAATTCACTGGCCATGAATTTAGTGTTGCAATAGTACAGGCATTACCTTTCACCACGCCAGGCCCACTTGGTTTCGGCTCTTGGCTGGGCTGGGGTTTACTAAGTTTAGGGAGAGGTTCACTCTGAACAGTAGATTCATTCTTCTGAACAGTAGTCGATTCTTCTCTTGAGAGTTTGTCAATATATTCTTTGACAGGATCTTTTGCACCTCCAAGCTTTTGAAGCCACACTTGTTGTGCAGTACTGAGGATATTATTTGTAAGCCTGCAGGAAAGCGGTAACTTATGAATGCCATAAATAAATATAAAAGATAACAAGAAAACAAAACAGAAAACAAGCGACATTTGGTAAAATTTATCACATAAGTGAATATAAAATTAGAACAGTTACAATTAAAACAGGAAAAATGTGAAGAATTTATTTTCAATTATAGAGCATGCTATATGCTGGACAAAACTAGTATACCAACCTTTTAGTTGTATGGGTTTATAAGACAATCAATGGCTACATCTACCTTTGAGCTAAAGCAAGTTTTACAAATATTTAGCAGTCAAGCATATTCCGACTTATTAAAGCCAATACTGATAAATATTTTGATTATTTGGAGGAACTGTATTAATGGAACCTGCAACTAATCATAATAAATAGAGTGATTCTGATTAAATGGTTGAACTGCATCGATAGTCAGGACTCAGGAAGCAGTCAATATATAAATGTACTCAAGCTTTCAAAGTCAAAAGCGACAGCAAAACACTGGCGGTGTTTTCATTAACCATGGGGAATCGAGCAACGGCTCACAGGTCATGTGAGTCTCTCTCCCTCCCTCCCTCTGTCTTCTCTCTTCTAAAGGGATGGGTACTCTCCTCCCATAAGGTAAAGCCAAGGGGTCATCTTCTCCCCCGAGTTCGAGTTTTGTGTACATACATAGCAATTGGGATATAGCAGACCCAGCTCAATCAGTAATGCCACCGCAGCACAAGGGTATGCAGTACTGGGACTCTGGATCATTTAAGTAAAATCAAAGTTCAATTTGTAAAACACACTTACCAGTACAGACCTAGTCCAGAAGGCACTGAAAGAGCAAAATAACCAATTAGCAATGGTAAGAACTTTGTTACAGCCTGAGCACCTTGTTGGCTAGGATCATTGCTCTACAAAACAATAACATGCCAAACAGCATGTTAGGGACTTCAAAATAGCAGAAGTTGGGCTACTGATGTATACTTGTGTCAGGCATAAAAAAAGAGAGTAAGCCCTCAATATTGAAGCTTTCTCAATTCCCCAGTTCTTTTTCTTGAATAATGCGAATTGAAAATTTTGGAAAAACATACTACAATACAGATCTTTAATAGTGTGTTCAATTTGAGGTGTGTCTATCATGGGTTCATAGGTCATTCTACAAATTTTGCTGGGATCACATGTCCTTATTTTACACTAATCTGTCAGGGTGGGTGGGTAACAGATCTACCAATTCCACTCCTCAAACCAAACAAGTAGGTCAGATAATCAGATTCAGAGCTAGGATTGGACGATCCATCATCATGCCACTCCTACCAAACACTTCATAGACTTGAAGCGAACTGACAAAAGAAAGCTATCTGACCTACCCAAGAATCATGTGGGTTGAACTGAAGTCATTAAGCCAATTCATATATCTTATATGGTTATTCATTAGCAGGTAGGCTAAGGAACATTGCTCCTAGTCTTTATCATGTAACCATTATTAATTAGTTCGGACACATGATCAAGACAGTTACAATGCTGAATCACTCCAAAGTAGGCGATCGGAATACACGTAATCAATTTTTAGAACCATGACAAATAGATATAATTCAATCAGAAAACAAAATTTCCATGCAAATATTGAAGACCGAGATGCATGTGCTCCTAAAGTAGAATAGTACCTTAGTGAATAAACATGTTCAAAAGTTGCTAAAACTAACCTGTGGTGGCTGCATTACTTGAGTAGATATGTATTGTGACATGACAAGAAGAACTGGTAACACAAGGTATGCCAAAGTGTCCGACCAGCCAAGAGGTGGATGACCATCCTACAATATCAGCAATTATACTTATGTCACAAATATAAAACGGACCCCATATTCTCCAGAAGTGCTGATCACCATTTTGAAACAGTCCTATCTAAATAAATACTTATATAGATCACCATAAGGCGTAAAGCAGCATTAACAGGCAAATTTCCAGGGTAGCAGAACTGCAGAACCTTAAATGTGCTTACTTTACAAAGTCAACATTTTAAAGCATCTACAGATTTCAAACAGGCACTAAAATCATGTTCAACCACAGTTTACTAACTTCAACATCAGCAAATAAAACCAAATTTGAACAAATCAACCAGACCTCAATTCCCTAGTCAAGATGAAAATTCACCCATCCTAGGGTAATAAAACTCAATTGTTGTAAATCCTTCCAATATTTATGGAAAACACAATAGTGTTCAAACAGAGGATGCAATGATGTGTCACGCATGATATGCTTTAGGAAACTGAAACTGGACTAGTGAATTTTAGTTGTCATGAACTTCACTGCAGAACAGATCAATCTCGATGGGAGGTAAATAATTGAGCATCACAGAAAATTCAATGTGATCCTTATCAATGTAAACTGCATGTAAAGTCAATGGAGCTCAAATAATTTAGTTGCACTACGCTGCTAAGTACAAACAAACTTAAAAAAATATAAACTGAATATGTAAGTCAATGGAGCTCCAATAGTTCTGTTTCTGTGTACAAGGTAACAAATCCTATGGTACGGAACATCAACTTATTCATGATCAGTGCTTACAGTAAAAGAAAAAAAGCCAGGATATTCCCTGGCCATTTTGTCGAGCAGCAATTGTTGTAGGACCAGCCAAAGAAGGTATCCAAAAAACCTTCAGTCAGAAGTCCCTTTTAATGAAGACACATACACATCAGGCAGAGAAAATGTAAACTGTTCAACAAAGAAGAATTGACAGTGACAGAATAGACGTTTCAGTATATCAACCTCATTAGCTACATTTGAGAGAGCTCTGTATAGACCAATCCAAACTGGTATTGTCACAAGGGTAGGCAAGCATCCTATTGAAGGAAAATGCCAAAGGAAGTATATGTGAATAACTAACAGAAGGATGTATACAAAATAGAAAAGGTAACAATAGACAGTAAAAGTCTGAACCAAAATGACAAGACTTTCTATTAAGACTTGCTATCCATTGAGGATTGCGGAGCATCCACTGATAGGAAAAACATCAAGCATGGTAAATCAGAGCTAACCTGCAAGTGGGTTAACACCAGATAACTTGTATAAGCGAGCAGTTTCAAGTTGTATCCTTTCCTGGTAGAGCAAATAAATGATTTACAAACTCAAAGTTGTAACCAAAATCCATTTTTGTGGTCTAAAATGCACTTTATAACACCACTGCACTCTACGACAATTCTTAAGTGAGAGCCCTTCCAAGAAAGGTGAGATTTTGGAAGTAGAGTAGTCCATTTTAAATAGGGCTTGAATAAAATGTGCACTTTGATATACCCCATGGGCAAAATTACCCCTGTTAGATTGATGTTATAATGGACTTTGAGATAAGCTATCAATACATCAAGATCTAATCACAACGCTTTCTTAAAAACATTGTAACAGCTTCGTGAGGAGAAAAAACGAGAAAAGTAGACCTTCCACTTGATAAGGACCTCAAATTACAGTGAAATAATATTTCAAGTACTGGTGATAAACTGACTGTAAGGTTTATCCTTACTGCCATACAGTGAACATTGAAGGATACAATGTAAGAACATGCGAAGTGGTCTGACATAAGAACATGTGCAGCGATCCAATATATATTATTTTATAGATCAATGGCTGTCCTCGGAAGAGATTGCTGCTGCTGCAGCAGCAACCACTCAGAACCACCTAAAGCTGCTAGACACTGCTCAATGCAGCAACAGCTGCAGCCACTGTGGAAAAATCACAACTGAGCATAGCCAACATGTAAAATATAATCACCTGATCACCAGCATATCGTTCTTGAATGGCCTTCACTTGAGGTTGCAGTGACCTCATTGCAAGTGCAGACTCAACCTATAAAAAAACAACATAACGTGCTATTTTCAATACTGGATTCAAAATGAAGATATAAAGCACATGCGCTGCTTATAGCAGCAAGCAGTAAATCTGCAAAACTTGAAGGCACATCTAAGCAATGTCCACAAAATTGAAAAATTCAGTTGCAAAGATCTTTGCAGGTGTCATGTTCAAACAAGTCTACACTAGGCGCCATAGGGCCCGAGATGTGCGCAGGGCCCAGGAACGCGCTGCTGTGCGCGCGGCCAGCGCCCAGGGGGCGTCCTCCAGCAGTGGCTAGGAGGGAAAGTAGGAAATCTATTAGCTATTTTGGTTAGTCCTTAATTAGTGGACTTTGTTACTCCTTTTGGTTGAGCCGGAGGCTATACATATCTTGTAACCGGACACTTGGCAATTAAGGAAGAATTACCATCTAATCTCTCTCCCTCTCTTCTATCTAAGCCGGCGGCTGGGGGCATAACCCACCGACGAGGAACGGCGGCAAGGGGGTATAACCCGGCCGGCCACCACGGACAGCGGCTACGATCTACGTAGCCGAGGTCCCCCTACCCTTGGGCTCACTGCCCTTGACAGCAGGAAAAATGAAATCTTCACATTTCAAAACAAGTGCTGCAAGACATGGTGATACTAAGAAACCATAAATGTAACAGTAATACCCTACTCAAATGTTAATGACATGGAACTTGTTAAAGTAAGTCTCTTTTGCATCCTTCAAAGAAACAACCAGTAATTGCTGCCAACCAAAACACTTGTGTAAAAGGACGGCAACTAATGCCTAGTCAGGTGGTATGTACACAATTTTCAGAAAGGTAAAAACAACTAAACAATAGGTTTTTGAAAGGAGAATATTTCAGCTGGTTGGAACTTGCAAGTGTATGGCTTTAATTTTATAGCATTTATCAGTAGTGGGTAATGCTTGAATGCTGAACTTAATCCATATAAGGCCCAGTCTCATTAATTGTCTGACTCAGAGAGCAGGCAATTCATCTCCCAAGGAAAACCATGTGTTTCACATTTCTCTACCCACAGTTCCAGCATTAAAGTTTCTGCCAGAAAGAACCAATACAAAGTATGAACTCATTCATTAACTACTTGATGATCAAATGAGGACTAGAAAGGCACCATTTTCTAGGATATCTTTGAAGATAACCGTGTAAGCAGAAGAAAGAAAATACTGACACAAGGCCAAATATGCAGGACACATGTATAATCAAATATCGATAAATATCTCGATAAAATTTGCTGAGCTGCAGTTGAGCAGAAGTACACCAATAAGAGCAACCATGCCCAGGAAAACAGTATCCCTTCACTATTGAACTTTGAATAGCCTTTATGGCAACCTACATTCAACTACATAACAATGCATCCTGACTGTAGATTCTCCTAGTGGTCGAGTTTCTTTTCTTTTCTTTCTTTTTTTTTGGGTGGGGGTGGGGGGTATCCTGACTGTAGAAGCATAGCATAGAGACTCACCTGCTTCTTTGTTAGAGGAAATGTAGCTGCCTTAACAAGAACAGTGAGGAGAATGATTGCAAAGCCATATGAATAAGGAACATGGAGAGCTGATAGACCATCTTTCAGAACCTGCCAATGGGGAAATGTGTAGAAAGTGTGACACAAACTCTATAAAAATATCAGAAGAAGGCACAGACGGAGAATAAGCATATGTCTATATGCACATAATGAAAAATATATTATAATAATTATCAATAAGTTCATAATATAACTACTAGAGGGATCACTTATACAGTTATATGATCATATGCACAAACATGAAGGCAAATGGGACACAAATACTGATTCTCTCTTCATCTTCTTTCTAGACAGTAGCTACAAGTACTATCTAATTAGGATTTGAAAAGGTCAAATTGACTAACAGTTAGTCAAAGTGCATGCACCTTTAGTCTACAAAAGTTGCATCAATAGATTAGTGTTTGAAAAAACTTTTTATATGATACTGATAGCAGTTCACAATATGTTGTAAGAGAAATTAATGTTCAAAGCATACATTTCATCTTCTATAGCTAACGATCTTTTTATTGGTAATTACAACAGCAAAACATGGTACTTCCGTTCTCAAGAGTCAAAGAAGCATGAGTACATAAATTATTGTGTGCTTCAAACACATTAATCAGCAACAGTTGCAATTAACTGAACACCAATTGTTGCATGCAGTCATTTCCTTTTCTCAGAAACACAATTGATCCTTATCCTTCAGTCCATATTCCTGCCTAGTACTCTTGACAACTTAATCTCAACTGATGTGCTTGAAGCATGGATGTTAGGGGAAGTTTTTTATCATTATTTTTGAAAAGTCAACAACTGAGTATTGCAGAAATGCGTATGTTGCGATGGATTTGCGGTCACACAAGAATGGACCGAGTTCGAAACGATGATATACATGATCGCCTAGAGGTAGCACCAATTGAAGAAAAGCTTGTCCAACATTGGTTGAGGTGGTTTGGCCATGTCCAAAGGAGACCTCCAGAGACACCGGTGCATTGTGGAGTCCTAAGCCAAGCTAATAATATGAGGAGAGGTAGAGGAAGACCGAAATTGACATGGGAGGAGGCAATAAAAAGAGATTTGAAAGCTTGGGATATACCTAGAGATCTATGTTTAAATAGGAGTACTTAGAAAACAGCTATTGAAGTGCCTGAACCGTGACTTGGGGCTCTTGGTGGGTTTCAACTCTAGCCTACCCCAACTTGCTTGGGACTGAAAGGCTATGTTGTTGTTGTTGCTGTTGTTGTTGTTTATTTTTGAAAAGTCAAACAAGTTGGTTCTTATAAATCCCTGGAGGCTCTCAAGGACTGCAGCAATTACTAATATCAGTATCAACACTGTCTGCAGGAGTGCAGGTCTAAATCAGAGTCATTGAAATAATGATGTCAATGTATCTTCATAGCAAAATATATAGGTAGGAGTTTGAACAACCATTGGAATAGCAAACCTTGGCTTCATAGCTAAACAAAAAAAAAAATCGAAATCTGAACCAGGAAATATACTGATAAGTCATCCGTGAAGATATTGCCTAGTGGTTGCGGAGTTGTTGGCGGCCTAGGTGTCTAAACCTGCAACCAAATACCACCTAAGGGTCGGAAATCTCCACAACATCCCACGATTTTTATTAGAAAAATGATAGCACTGGTAATCGCAGTGCCTGAAGTGGGTGTTGAGAAAATAATTGCGGTGCCTCAAGTGGGTGTTCAGAAAAGCTAGTCCAGAGAATACCAGGGCCACATTAAATATTTCGGAGCACGTTCAGAAAGCATAAACGCACCTTCCCAACAACAAGAGTAGAATACCTTAGCTAGATTCTGCAGGCAACGCACAATGTAAGCAAGTTCTTAGTAGTAGATTCCAGCTAACACTCGTACTGTCGTCGTGCCATAGCATTTTGAGCGCAAAAATGGGGTGGGTGCCACCGTCACCTCACAGTCACAGTCACCCAAAATCCCAAAACAAAAATTCAAAAACGAAAAACAAAATAGAGGAGACGCGTCCGCACACGGCACGGGGAAGCAGCAGCGACTCACGCAACCGCGGCATAAACCCCCGAGTCAATTGCAGCTGAAACCGAGGCACGGAACCGCATCGCACGCGAAGCGGCAGAGAACGCACCTTGAGCACGGTCTCCATGGAGTTGGTGATGCCGGAGAGCCAGTCCCCGGCGGCCTCCTTGGTCCCGCCGTCCGCGGCCGCCACGACGGGCTCCGCGGAGACGGCGGCGTCCGCGACGGTGTAGAGGAATGCCTCGACGCGGCCGAGCAGGTCGCCAGCGTCGGCGGGGCCGAGCGCGGCGACCGGGCGGAGGCGGAGGCGGAGGCGGGGGCGGTGGGAGCGGGAGCGGAGGCCGGGCCGAGCGGAGAAGCCCCGCGGCGAGGGCAGGGGCAAGGCTAGGGTTTGGGGGCAGCCCGGGAGGTGGAGGTGGAGGTGGGAGGGCGCGGCCATTGGAGTTGGAGAGGGGGACGCACGCGGGCGGCGAGGCGGTAGTGGTCGGAGGGGTAGGAGGAGCCTAGGAGGCGGTAGGCCGGCCCGGCCACAGCGAGAGCGAGCGAGTGGCGAGTCCAACTGCAAGTGGGGCGGCACGGGACGGGCACGACACGACACGACACGGAGGCACCGAGGCAGAGGCGCAGAGCAAAGCGACGACGAATTTGTAGCAGGAGCCGCAAGGCGAGCAGTGGAGCGAGGACATTTGGCAGAGCTCCTCCCTGTGTCCGGCTCCGGCTCTTCTAAGTCCTGCCAAACGTTTTTTTTTTTTCTTAGAAGAGCTATTTTTTAAGTAAAAAACAGAGGAGTCGAAACTGTTTTGGAGGAGCCACGATTAGGAGGAGCCGTGCCAAACAGGTCCTCAGTGTAGACTACTCCAGCAGCAGTGTTTTGATACGGAAGGCAACGCAATTCACGCGTGCCTTGGCGCGGATACGCACGTGGGCCGGTGGTGGTCGCCTGGTGGAGCGCGTCGGGGGCGTGGGCCCCGCGGTTGACGGGTGGGCCTGGTCAGCCTAAGGTGGGCCTTTCGATGGATGAATTGGACTGTAAGCACGTATGATAATTGAGACATTGGGCCGCTCGTCATGGTGCCGAGTGGGCCCAGGCGCCCAGCGAGCGATCTAGCCAGGTACGGTACGGACGGATACCAAGGGATGTTTTGGTCTTTTCTTCAGTGTATTAACTATTTTTTGAGTATTATAAAATGATGTTTGAGTGAAGGCGAGTTATTAGCAATAGAAAAACAGAATAAGATGGGTCTAGTATGTTGTGTTAGCGTATTTCAGCTTCTCTTATTCGACTAATGGGATCCAGGGTGAAGACAATTGTAAGGCTTTGTTTATCTCAAAATGATCAATTAATGAATTATTTTTTGAAGGAGAAAATACTGTATAGATGTATAGTATTTCGAAAACGCTCCTCGTAGGGCGTCCATCCGAATGGACGGACCCCCACTCGCCCACGCAGCCCCCGCCCGCGAGCAGAACCCCGTCCTAGCCCGCGCCGCCCCCGCTCACGCGCCCCACCGCATGTCCACGCCGCGCCTGGCAAGCCCGACACGCTAGGCGCTCGCTCCTGGACTCGCGCCTCCCATCGCGACCGTGCTTCATCCGCCTACTCCTTCCTCTGCCGAGGTTCGTGCCACCGACGAGCTCCACACCGTCGATCTCCGCGCCACTCCACGGTTTCGAGCACCGTGCCGGCGTCGAGCTCCACGTCGACAAGCCTCCATTCGTCCAAGCAGTAAGCAGATGCTACGCTGAAAGCGCATGTTGCAATTGTATGTTTCAAGTATTTTCAGATGTTTCTGAGGCATGTTGCAAGTGTTGTATATCGAAGTTGCAAAAAGTAGATCGGGATGTTGCACATGCTGTAATGGCTATACATGTATGTTTCAAGTGTACGTTCCAAATATTTCATCTATTCCAAACGAATGTTGCAAGTGTTTTGTTTGGATGTTGCAAAAGTAGTCTAGATGTTGCATATACATGCATGTTGCAAGCATATGTTTCAAATGTTTTTAGGTGTTTCATATGTATGTTTGCAAGTGTTTCATCTGGATGTTGCATATGTTTGCAATGGTTTTCAAATGTTTTTCAGGCGTTTTCGCAAGTGTTTAAGATGCTTGTTTCAAGTGTTTCATATGTCTTCTTTTGTATGTTGCAACTGTTGCATATGTTTGTAATGGTTTTCAAATGTTTTTCAGGCGTTTTCGCAAGTGTTTCAGATGCTTGTTTCAAGTGTTTCATCTATTTTCTTTTGTATGTTGCAACTGTTGTATGTGGATGTTTCAAAAGTAGATCGGATGTTGCACATGGAATACGCATGGGAAGCACCGGCGGCATGAACGACGTCCGGGGCAGCGCGGGACCAGTACGGGTGCGCTCCCTCGCGAGCCCGACGCGATAGGCACTCGTTTGCTCCCTGTTTGTGCGGGCAGCATCCGGACGCTAGCAAGTCCAATAGTATTTATTTATTCATTGCTATTGATGATCTTTCACTATTATATTATTGCTTTTGCTTACACTGAATGATGTGACAAAAACTGACCCTAAAACGGGTGCCATCTTGGTAGACAACCTTTTTTTTTTGCGAGTAATCTTGGTAGACAACCTTGAGATACCAAGCATGGAAGTCATTAATAATGCGATGCAAAGTGGCGAGCGTGCTCTTATGCTTGCTGAATTCAAGCTGTCCCCCAACTCCTACTTATCTGAGCTGACCACTTCACCTGTTAGATCATTATCAGACAGTAATTGAGTTCAACAAGAAACACCCCGTGTTGAGGTAAATATTGGTCACAGGAAGGATTTCATTTTCATACATAATTCTCATGTCCATCTAATTTCCTATGTATTTTCGTTAAACATAAACATATATACATGTTATTGCCATATTGGTCACAGGAAAGGATGGCTGAATTTGGACAAGATTACAATCTGAAGCAACCAGTGGCATCGGTCCAACTGAGGAGCATGCTATTTTGAAACTGAACAAACTGTGCAAAAGAGGCCTTGAGAATATAATGCAAGATAATCAATTTGATGCAATTGTAGCACTAGGTCCAGGTGCATCTGCCATTCGTGGTTATCTGGAAATAACTGTTCCCGCTGGGTATGCTGCAAATGGGTCCCTTTTGCCATCTGCTTCGGAGGGGCTGGCTGGGTATGCTGCAAATGGCGTCCTTTTGCCATCTGCTTCGGAGGGTTAGAAAGGATCAGACCTCCGTCACTGCAGCTTCCTGTCCTTTGAATGTAACTACGGTCATGTCATTTTTTTTCGGCAGTATTTTATTTAACTTTTAGAGAAAAACGTTATTTAGGGAACCACGCATGTATTGAATGCTAAAACATTAAATGTTTGTGATAACCTTTAACCAAACTCTTTGAACTCAAGCATATATCCTGATCTTCAGCACTACTTTTCAGTGAACGAATAGTATTTTCCTCTCACAATAAATCAGCATAAGCCTACAATTTATGAAATACAGTCTTTTAGGGGAAGAAGTAGAGCAAAAGAAATATGGATTCAAAGTGTCCTGTATTTTTTGGGAGAAATTGCACAAGATGTTCTCATACCAAGACATGGTAATCATTACAGAATTAACTTCCTACATTTGCTAGATAATGATTGTACAATTCTATTGTGGGAATGCCAATTATTGCAGCATAGTTCCCTTGTATTTTCACTAAGAAACCATATAGTTCGAATTATCGCCTACTATTTCTGATGTCCCGAGGACCGGGAATTCGATGCTACTAAAAGTTTGTAAACAAAATTTATTCTTCTGTAAAAAGAAGAATCACTCTGTGCCCTTGGCCGCCTTGTATGAATTCACTAATTGCATCTGCACATCCTGCGACACAACATTATGCTCCAGGTACTCCATTGTAAATTCACCTTTCCCCTGCAGGACATGCAGGAAAACAGATAAATAGGAAAACCACACAATTTTTCTCCAACATTTATAAACCATCTAGCTAGAATATATTGGTTGAACCAAACACGCAAGATTCGGCTTTGCCTTTCCTGGCCTCGCCGGCCTAGGCACCAATTATTGTTTTGAACAATTATTTAGTATAGTATTTTTAATCGAAGGCAGGTATTATCCACTTGAGTAGCAAACATGCAAATCGTACTTTACAGCAGATTAGACGTTGCTTCTGTCAAATATAGTGTACGCTGAGTTCAGTGGACACCATCCAATTAAACAGCAATATCAAAATAACTTTATAACATTAGAAGACAAACAAACATTGCCTAGAATTTGATGAGAGAGAATATTGACCTGAGTCACTGATCGAATAGCTGTTGCATATCCAAACATATTGTTTAGCGGAACCTGAAAGAACAGGACAAGATGAGTTTGCAAGAGCAGTCCGCAGGGAACAGGTACCAACATTATGAAGTACAAAAATAATAATCCCTGTCTAGTCGTTGCATGCTGTACTGACCAAGATCAAAATGACAGATTTAACAATAAAACCACATTCACCTAGGACCTAGGATCATAACGAAGACCCATAGTATTGTTTGCTAAGTGATTGGTGCAGCATTGTTTACATCCTTTGTGTCACCTGATATATGCGATATGGGTATGGCGATACAGCATTTGCCCAAAACAATGATACTTCGGTATGGCAAACATACATATTTATGTATCAATAAGTTTTAAAAAACAAAATATAAATTGAATTTTGATGGCACTAAGCAAGCAGCTACTGGAAGCCACATCTAAAATATTGAAGTACCCATGCTGAATACATATCCATCACTAGGATGAAAAGGGGGGGGGGAAGATTTTTTAGAAAAGAGGATGAGATGGGCTTCTATGTTCTAGTTGCTGGCCCACTAAGCCCACGTAAGAACCTCAACTTATTACCCCAAGCACTCTTAATCCCTCCTTTCATCTTGCACGCAACGACCACCGCTGCTCTGGCTCTTTTTGCATTGTGGATCTCTCTTCTTCACCAATGCAGCTTCCACAAGCAGGTCAGTATTCCACAGCAATGAGCCAATGACTAGCAAAATGAGTAGCCCATGCTCCTCATCTCCAGAGTCTGTCGAAACTCACAATTTCACCTTCTCTCTGTGATTACACACGAACAGCAAGAAACCTACTGCACTAAGGTACTGGTAAGTATGGGAAGCTTTATCGTCAACTAAATTCTTTATCTTTAAATTGCAATTTCCAGATACTCCTTGACATGCATATCACCATAATATCCCCAATTTCCCCTTCTCTCAGTGACTACACAAGAACAGCAAGAAACCTACTGCACTAAGGTAATGGTAAGTATGGGAAGCCATATCGTCGACTAAATTCTTTATCTTTATTGCAATTTCCAGTTACTCCTTGACATGCATATCACCATAATAACCCAGTGTATCGGACACGGGTACTGTCAACCTACGGGATCACCGTCTGACGACAGAGCAAGCACGCACAATACAAG